ACGAATCCATCTCTTTCTCGCGAATATAACACAAAACACAACCACACTGAATTTACTTATTTCATAAAACAAAAGAAGAACATAAATAGGTTTCCACTCTTGAAAGTGGCCAGCTTGCCACGGATAATATATACAACAAAAGATAACTGTATTCGTAAATATGAACCCCTTTAAAAAAACATGTAAGTAGTACACCTAGTATGAACTGCGTGTTCGGCGCTCTGATTGGCCGGCTCAAGTGAACCAACCAATCAGAATTGCGATAGTTATTCGTGCTTGGCACTCTGTTCCATTTAATGAAAGCGCCTATCAATTTTTAAACATTTAACGTAATGGTTCTATACTTGGTTGCTATTATAAATTGTTCAGGTTAATCGAGGGCGATGGCGTAGACTAAAGATCTTTGTTAGCATATCATCATCATCATATTAATATCATGCCATTTATCCCCGAAGTGGTTGGCAGAGGTGCACATTACGGCTATTACTCACACGGTACAATGCCAACTGTACAGTGTAACACCCACTTTTCACTATTTATGTTATGAGTCCCATGTAATAGGGGGTGACCCTATTGCCATATACCAGGCACACTTCCAGACTCCGTGCTACTACTGAGAATTTTTTAAATACCCCGTAATACTTTGCCCGAGCCGGGAGTCGAACCCGAGACCCCTAGCCAGGCAGCAGCACTTGCGACCACTCAGCTAACGAAGCTCTTGTTCGTAAGTAGTTGGCATAATATTGTTATCTTAATACATATCTTATACCTACTTATTATATAAAGCTGAAGATTTTTATGTGTTTCTTTGAAAGCGCTAATCTCTGGGACTACTGGACCGATATGAATAATTCTTTTTGTGTTGGATAGTGCATTTATCGAGGAAGGCTAAAGGCTATAAAACATCATCCAATAGGAGCTGAGCAGAGCGGGTGAAACTGCGAAAGTAGCTAGTACATATATTATGTACCTACTTATCTTCAATATCTCTTCCATTAATTAAGTCCTTCTTATGCAGGCCTATGGTTCAGTAGTGGACTGTCACCGACTGTTAATGGTAATTCTTATTAATTTTGTGTTTTTGGAAATCGAACTAAATAATACTGAAGTGTGGGAGAGTCATACTTAGGCAGAAATAGGCCGGCTCGACCGGAGTGTTACCACGGCCTCATAGAAAACCGACGTGAAACAACGCTTGCGTTGAGTTCAGTCGTGTGAATGAGGTTATCGGAGGCCCAACTTCCCCCCCCCCGTTCCTCAGTCCCTGAATTTTCAACATTCCTCAAATTCGTAATCCTCAAAAGGCCGGTACACACTTGTAACGCCTCTGGTGTTCTAGGTGTCCATGGGCGGCACCACGGAATATAGATTCCGTGGGCGGCACCGATTGCTAACCATCAGGTGATCCGTCTGCTCGTTTACCGGTTTACCCCATAAATAAAATACACCAACGTTGCAATTAAAAATAGCAGAAAAAATACGTTTCAAGTCATAACTGTTTATTAACAAGAGTCTTTATTTATCTTATAATTATATTATGTTTATTTCTTATCATTATCACATATTTACATTTTTAATTACGTTTTCAAAACGCATCATTTAATACGCAATACTTTGTGCGCCTGTCGAAATTGAAATTACAACTAATGTGACTAATGCCATCTAGTGAGAGATTGAAAAGTTAATTTACATTTTATCTTGATAGCTCTTTGCGGACAGCGCCTCTGTCGAAAGGAGTTCGAACTAGTGTTATGTCAATAAGGACCATGTTCTTTTTAAATGTCAATTGTCATTTATAAATACCGGACAGATAAGTCACCTCTGATAAAATAATAAGCACTTGTTTTGCAAACAAAAATTGTATTTTAAAACAAAATTCATTAAAGAAAACAATAATTAAGCATTCATTTACTAAAATATCACCATTTTCACGTAATGGTCTCACTACCGCCAATCATAACACCAGTGGCGTTTTTAAGAACTAAATATCCTTCTAGGATTACTTTCTAAAGTTAGGCACATGACATTATTTACATGGAATTATTCTACAAATAATAATAATCAAGTAAATTACTAATAGGTAATTATTTATGCTCTACAATGGCTCATAAATATACACTTAATAAATTAAATTATATAAGTATACATGGGGTAAGACAAAATGTAGTTATAGGTAGCTTTTAGAACCTTATTTCACGAGAAGACTATGGTCATACGACCTCGCAGCCAACAAAATGTATAGAGTTGTTCAACCAAATCAACTCTAGTGTTTTTCTAGAGACTTTCTAGTGTCTCTCTGTGGACACCAATTTTGCACGATTGGTCTTACAAGTCCTCATGAATTTGGACTATAAAGTATTTTTGCAAGGTTTTACGGCTTTTAACTTTGAAGATACTTTAACTATGACTACATTTTTCTATTCCCCGTGACACAAGTACCAGCTCATCAAGCTACCTCTTTCATAAGTAATAGCTCAATGAACTGGGGTACATGATTAGAATCAATAAAATAAATTAAATAAGTACAATAATTTTAATACAATATTTAGTCTAAGTACTAAAACAAATAATTATTGCAGCACTTAGGTCATAATTATTAAATCATTTGGGAATTTATCGTCTAATAAATGTGTACATAGACTTAAAGTACAGTTTACAACTTCAGTAAATATCCAGTAATAAAATGAATCGGTAAAGAAACCATAGGGCAATCAAATTTGATATCAACGCCATCTATCGACGATATTGACAACTCCTTTTTTGTTGCGCAATAGGTTGTCCGTTGTGCAACTTTCCGGACTTTATTCCGGACTGGACAAGTAGATTCTATGTTCTACTGAGTACTGTGTCCATAAATTACTTACTGATGCAATGAACTGTATTTGTTGTGTTCATAGTCTCAAGGAATATAAACATTTCATCACGATATGCACTTTGAGCATATGCAGACAATTTTTATCTTACTTATACTTCGTGGTTGGGAATGACAAGGAATTTTCATTGCTCTTGTTGCAAAGAGGAGTTCCACAAAAAATGTGGTTCAAATAGCATTTATTTTTATATTTCTCGTTAAAAAGCTGCACTAGAGAGTCTACAGCACAGAAGCAGAGTATCAACACTAATAGGTCCTGGAAGATCGGTGCCAGTCTCTACAACGACTTAATTACTACATGGAAGACTTTATATTGCTGACAATGTAACTTTGTCAAGTTTTTTTATAGTATTTTTATGTACTTGAATAGATGCTGAACTAAAGACTCAAAGTTTGGGGCCGAAAGGAACATTTTGCCATTTTTGGGGAACTTGAGAAGGCATATGCCATGAAATGGATCGTTGATGACCATGATGATGAGATACAGTATGCTAACTAAAGGCCATAGGCCATGTAACACTGTATAAAATGGAGAGTGGATTAAACTGGAACTGATAGAACTAATTTAATATATGTATGGCTTAACGTCGTGATGGTAAAACGGACAGTAGTGACATGCTAAGAAGCTGTTATGAGCCAATAAGGTGTGGCTGTTTAACACGATGCGCTAAAATGCAGTGCTTTGATTGGTGCGTGTAAAGGAACTGCAGCTGTAGCCAAATGCCATTTAACGCTTGTCTACTTGTAGAGTAGAAAACTAAATTAAATGGATTGACGTAAATTTTGACACTTTTCAGTGTCATCCCCATACCTACATTTAGTTTTCTATTCTCTCGGTAGACAAGCGCTAAAGTGGCGTTTGGCTAAAGGCACTGGTCTCGAGTTTGTAGGCATTAGATGGATATAACATATAGAATAGACTAGTTGCGACCAAAGCTGTGAGTGGAGAATAATATTTATATGTATAATAAATAACCATGTCCTAATACTCAAACAATACACAACATTATGAAGTTTTAAAACTTTAACAAAGACAGCAAGATAAAATACATTGTTGACTTATTGAATAGAGTTTGAGTATTTGGACTTATTTTTAAATCTCAATCAAAATTCAAGCATTACTTAATACTTGGGTATAAACCAGTATACCTTAAGCTCGAATTAATGCGAGTTTAGATATTCACCTCTAACTACCACCAGGAGACGTAGCGACATCTATTGGCGGTTCTCGTAGACTAACTTGAAACATTTTTAAGTAACGCTTGGTTTTTGAGAGAGATTTATTACAATAAATTAATATGGCGTTTCCACGCAAATTCTATATACATTCATAGAATAATAATAAATAATAATTAATTAAAATCGACATTCTATAAATAAATTCGCGCATAACATCACAAAAGGCGAACCCGACAACATTTTTTTGTATTTTTGGGCTCATAGTATTAAATTACTTAACAAATTTCGATATGATGTGCCTATTTAATTCATTTGCATAAAAGTAACTATGACGTCATCATGAATGTAAGTATCTTAACATAAATTATTATAATACAACCAAACAAAACAGGGATGATTTAACAATTAAATTAAATGTTTGCGAAGAAATTGTAAATAATAATTAAATTGATTTTGAATTATACTGTTTACTAAAATATGACGTCACAAACATGTTTATAAATTGTGACGACATTAAAAATTAGACGTAATCTGCCATCATCCCTATTTCATTGGTGGCTTTTAACACAACATAGATGACATCATTTTGGTCTTCACTGATTGGCTAATGATAAATTAAATAGTGTTCATACCATAAATACAGAAACTACAACTAATATGACTTTTATAAGCCTTTGTCCATCATTGGACTGTGAAGTCGAACGAGTTAAAAATAAAATTGAAAATTAAATAATACAAACTTTATTGCCTTGCAATAAAGTTCACAAATCATTGCATAAAAATTGATTACAAGAAAATAATAATTATAATAACAGTCACTTGAATAAAAATCAACTAAAACGTGAAACAAATAAAGTTGACTATCGTGTGACAGTGACAGTAAAGTTTCGATCTACCTCATATAGTTGGAATCAGTGACACTGGAATTTCAACCTTGAGTGGTAAAAGTTTAAGGTACAGACTCGATTCTGCTGTCATCTTTCTTGGCCTTACCTGAGAGTTTGGAGTAGATTTCATCGATAGTCTTGCCTCTGGTCTCGGGGAAGTAGATGATCGTGTAGAAGCAAGCGATGAAGCAGATTGCAGAGAAGAATAGGAAGGTCCAATGTATACCGATCAGTTCACAGATTATGGTGAACCATTTCGTTTGAATGAAGTTGCTGAGCTTAGCGCACACGTTCGCGAAGGCTGACACGTTGCCACGGAGCTGGAAGAAGAGAAAGTTATGGGTGATGAACAGGTCTTTTGGGAGGAAGTAAACAGTTTAAGTAGACATCAAGAATTCTTATGTTCAAGTAATAATATTTTGAGCCAATTTGAACGGTATTTTAATAGTCGATTTGAGACTCGGACTCGGAACAATAGGGTTTTAGTCTTGAATGTGACAACAGAAACCAGTTATCCAATTAAGGCAAGCCGGAGAATAAGTAACGGTGCCTTCTCCCTGGAGCACATTACTATTATCAATCTACGTCTCAATGAAGTACACAGTATGATTTTCGTACTTCAATCTTTAATCTAGATGTCAAGCAGTGAAATTTGTAAATCCCTATTACAGAAAACACTAATAATAAACTAACTCACACGCAGGTGATATCGCTTAGCATAGCTAACTAAAATACAGGATGAAAAACATAATTTCACTCACCTGGAACGTAAACAAGTCAGTGATGATAATATATGATATAGGCTGGAAGCCTGCAGCATCAGCGAAGATGCAGAGACACATGGCGAGGACCGGTAACCAGCCCGGCAGCCAGAACCCTGACGAGGTCATGTAGAACCACGCTGATAGAACCACCATACCCACTCCAACGGCGAACGATGTTGTTACTAGTAGAAGCTGAAATAATATGAAATTTAAAGAAATGTAATGATTAAGACTGCCTCGTCACTCTGAATTTTTTTTATGGAGTAGGAGGCAAAGGAGCAGACGGATCCCCTGATGGTAAGCTATCAGCGCCGCCCATGGACACCCGCAACACCAGACGAGTCACAGGTGCGTTGCCGGCCTTTTAAAAAGGAATACGCTCTTTTCTTGAAGGTTTGAAGTTTGAATAAAAAGTGCTTACCTTTCTACCGGTCTTCTCCACAATACAAGTAGCGACGATGGAACCCAATAACTGAACCACTCCGATCAGCATAACTTGCTTGTTGGGACTGAGTTTAAGGCTGATGGACTCTGAAGCTCGTTCGAAGACGAAACCAGCGTAGATCAGTACTATGAGGTACCCATCGAACTGTTGCGTGATCTTGATAATTATTGTGATAATGAACGCTTTGAAGGTTGGTTTGTCTTGCCCTGTAAGAGGAGAAATTAGCATTAGATTGGTTCGGACACTGGTGAGAGGTTATTTATATTTCGATATGTAGTAAGTTCTGCTTTTATGGTCCCAGTACCCAGCTTAGTTCACACGCTCCGAAGGGATCCTGACCACATACCCAAGCAAAATTGGAATCCCCAAGGGAAAAGAAAGCGTGGCCGTCCTCGGCAAACCTGGCGTCGCACCGTACTGGCTGAAGCGACGAGCATCGGTATGACGTGGAGTGAGGTGAAGCGTGAAGCTGAAGACAGATCGCGATGGAGAACTTCAGTGGACGCCCTCTGCCCCATCTAGGGGACACAGGATATTAAGTCACCCAGCTTAGTATGACTTCGTTGTGGTTGTGACTCTTACTGATCAAAAACCACCTTGTTCCTACTCCTGCATTTCGAGCCGGAGCCCCGGCAACTCTTTAAGTCCTCCGCGGCTCCATATCGGTATCAGTCCCACTGGACCTTATGTGTGGCGGTCTGGTGTAGATACACCCGAGAGTTGGTTTGGACTAACTGTTATGTAGACTTTATAAAAGTATCTGTATTAAAAATTGTTGCTTGAATAGTCTGTAGTTAATGACGTTAATTTTGCTCAAAGGATATTGCAATGTGACCAGAAATAATCAAACAATAGGTGGTTATGAAACGAATTTTTAATTTAAAACTAGCGAACCGCCCCGGCTTGCACGGGTAGCATTTATAGTAGGTACGGTGGAGACATGAAAATCAATACAAATAATCAACAAAAAAGTGTTTTACTGTTTGCAATTTAATATTGCGATTATGAACTTTTAGTAACGCAATTTCAAGATTGTCGTGACCGCGCATAGCTTGGTAATTAATTTTGGTCGCTCAGGATTTTCATTTTACTATAACTCTTATAATTAAGATATCAACTTAATTTATATGCTGTAAAGAACAATATATAATCTTAAATAATTATGATTGCTGTTTAATGTATTTATTGAAATATATAGACTGACATCATATTTTTGGTAGATCCTTTTAAAAGTACTTTTGTCATAATATTAGTTCAATTTATATCAAACGATTTAGGACGCGCACGCGAAAACCGTATGAGACCGACTTCTTTGACAAAAATCGTGATATCTCGGTAAATGACAATGACCAAATTTGTATGGAGCGTGGTGCCTTTTCATTTTTTCGCGGCAGTTGATCGGATGTACATAAACTGATGCAGAATAACATTACAAACAAAAAAATGTATGGGGTCTTATATCAAAATACAGTCCAAACCGAGTTAAATCAGTTCAAAGATGTGAAAATAGTGCTATATAATTCCTGTGATTTTGTTGATGGTGACCGTACACAACGCATATTTCTTCATTTACTTGTCAGAAATATTTTGTAATAAATGTTTATAGACGATTTCAAGGAATATAATTAAGCTTATTGTGAACTTTTATAATTATTTTTTTTGTTTGTTATTTATTTTTTTTTTTTTTATAATGCCACGGAATCAGAACAGAGTGAACCATTAACTGACCACTGCTGAGGAAAAAAAAACACTTCGTTTGATTGGCTAACGTGTTCAATTTATATGTATACGGTTTATGACAGATTTTCATGATCAATTTCCTCTCAGTCAAAAACCCGCAAAATACTTTACCGAGCCCTATCATGAAATGCTATGTTTGTCAGTTGCGGCGTCGGTAGCGGATTGAGTAGTAACAGTCGTCAAAACACGAAAAAATGACTTTTCTGTCTACTTCTTCCGACTTACTTCCGATTAGTAACAAATCTAACTACAGTTAATACTTTAATCTACATCTAGCATAAGATTCTGTACAAAGACATCGTCAATCAGTCACAAAGTGATGCATTTCGAATGATCACATTATATGAAAAAATTATGCGCTCATCTGACGTATAGTCCATCACTTTACAAAGTCGACGGTTTGCTTTTTCAAAAGGTTATGCTAACTATAAAGTAGATGAGTCTCCTACCAGGAGTCAACGGCAAAAATAAAATACTTTATTAGATGTTTGGACGGCTACAACTACTCAACCCACCAATGGTACCACAGCTGATACTCATGAAGCTTCATGACACAATTCCTAGAAGCATCGCACAAGTCATCGACTGAGAGAAAATAGCTAATAAAAATTAGCGACTGGCAATATGGATATATTGTGGTGTGATTTGGTGTTTCTGAGCCCGGCGTACAGTGACGCGCAATTTGAAGTTAGGAATTGTGTCAAAAATATGAATAATTTGAATAAAAAAACGAAAGTAAAATGTTTGATTCCAGCTCCTTTCAACGCTCATAACTCAGTCCAGACTGAGATTTCCATATATGAGCCCATAGACAATTTCATTTGTAATGACATTCTAGATAACATTTTCTATAAATCATCGACTGCCGCCAGAAAAAAGAAAGGCACCAATTTTAGTCAATGCCTTTTAACTTCTACAACAATTAAACTGTCAAACACCGCGTGGACACCAGTGACCGCAACCTATTGTTCTTTAATTGTGTCTATAGTGACGGTACTCAAAGGTTTACAGATAGATACTTGTATCTCTCTATCTTAAAAATAATCCTCTGCGCAACATAATAATATAACAAGTATGACAGAGTGGAAATATGTGATGGCGAATGTTGACAACTTTTTTAAAATCCACTGTACATTGTGGTTTACTTACAAATAATCTTCCAGACGGACTGCGAGTCAGCCTGTGTCTGCTTGTCCACCCTGACGATGCTCTCGATGTCCTGCTCCACGCCTCGGTCCACTACGCTCACTCCTCGGAGCCAGGCTAGTACTGTTTTGGCTTCCTGTAATGTAACATAGGGTTTTTGAGTTCTAGAACTAAACTTTTACATTATTATAAGTTTAAACATTGCATAATGTCACTTATTTTACTGCCGAGGAGGTTATGTAAGCAAAAGTGAACTCTTCACACTTTCCCAGTCACTGCAATTCCTGTAGGCCAGTACCTATTCACAATAGCGCCCAAACAAGAAAATTTCAAAACATTGAAGTCTTGCGCGCGTACAATGTAATGCCCACTTCTCATAACTTATCATATAATAGAGGACGAGTATATATATATACTATCTACTTCCGCGCACTTTCACACGCTCTGCTCAGCTCCTATTAGTCGTAGCGTGATGTTTTATAGCCTATAGCCATCCTCAATAAATGCGGTATCAAACACAAAAAGAATTATTGAAATCAGACTTGTAGTTACGGAGATTAGCGCGTTCAAACAAACTCTTCAGCTTTATAATATTCATCATCAACAGCCTATAAATGCTCACTGCTGAGCAAAGCCTCTTCTCACACGGAGAAGGTTTGAGCATTAATCACCAATGTTCACGCGAGGATGTGAACATGCCGACGCAGCAGGGCAGTGACCGCGATGAACCAGAATCAACCTCAATCGTAGTTATGTGTCGCAACAGTGTTGATCTACGCGGTTTCACACAAATGCATTCGTATAAGTAATACACCTATACATGTAAATATATTAATATAAATAGCATGTAAATCTTTAATAAATTCTCTTTCTACGCTTCGAGCAACGCTGTTTCATTCGACGAGACCATCGACTCCTCTCACTGTTACTGCGCCTATAAATAGTTACCGATAGCTCTGGCATCACTCAGCCTTTGTTATTGGTCGGTCCGTGAGGCTGCGGATCGGCAGTGAGAAAATCCCTTCCTATACACCTTTCATCCTTCCCACCGTCCGTCTGTTGCCTTAGGTCTCATGGTAACAGGCATCCCGCACTATATATATAAGTATATATTGTACCTATATGGTTAGGGCTAGGTTGTTAGGTGAAATAGGATTGTTGGTAGGTTGTTAGGTGCAAATAGGATTGTTGTTAGGTTGTTAGGTGCAAATAGGATTGTTGTTAGGTTGGTAGGTGCAGGTAAGATTGTTGATAGGCTACAGTCAACCCCCTTCACTGTACATTTAGATCCCTGAATGTACATTTGGTCCTTCGAGCCGGCAAATGCGTTAAATGTATCAGGTACAAAGCAGAAACGGCGAAACAAAAAATGGGAGCACTACCAAGACCACGTGTGACACAATCATATCCATTTAGCCACACAGGATGTGATTTTGCAGGACCTATACAAGTACGATCAATGAAAGGTAGGGGTCACAAGTCATATAAAGGCTACATAGCAGTCTTCATATGCCTTGCAACAAAAGCCATCCACTTAGAACTGGTAGGAGACTTATCAACAGAGTCGTTTATTGCAGCACTTAGACGATTTATGGCCAGAAGAGGTCATGTGCATCACATGTACAGCGACAATGCAACGAACTTCGTGGGAGCAGCCAAATTCCTATACAAAGAAATTCTAGAAATCACTCAATCACCGCAGTTTCAAAATACATTAACTAACATAGGCACACAATGGCACTTCATACCACCAGCAGCGCCACACTTCGGCGGAATATGGGAAGCTGGTGTAAAATCTATGAAGCACCATTTAAGACGAGTAATAGGAGACAGCACCTTAACCTATGAAGAAGTATCGACATTCCTTCACCAAATTGAAGCATGTCTGAATTCAAGACCATTATGTATTCAAACAGAAAACATTAACGATAACATAGTATTAACGCCAAGTCATTTTCTTATTGGACGTGAAGCAGTGGGCGTACCTCACCCAATAGACAACATAAATACGGACCTCAGAAACCGCTGGAAGCATATACAAAAGATGAAAAAAGACTTTTGGAATAGTTGGACAAAAGAATACTTACACCAATTACAACAGAGATATAAATGGAAGTCAAACGAAGAAAACTTAAAAGTCGGTGCAATTGTTCTAATTAAAGACGAAAACATAAACCCGAGTAAATGGCCCTTGGCGAGGATAAAAGAAATTCACCCTGGACATGATGGCGCCACCAGAGTGGTAACCCTCGAACGATCACAAGGGACGGACCAAAAGAGATCAATACATACTTTGATACCATTACCAGTAAACGAAGACACAAACACAGCGGGAAGTAGGCAAACAACAGCGCCTACGCAAGCTAACTTAGCAAGACTGAATACACACAAGAAAACACATAGCCAGTGTGCTATGCAAAAATCGACAGGCAAGCTGCATTATTGGGTTATAACTTTATTACTGACATTGCAACTTTTAACTCCAGCTACGACTACATATACAAACAAAAACTTAAAATCAGGACTATATATAGAGCAAATGGGAAACGCTTCGTTAGACAGAGGAACCTTTAGAATAGAAACAACCTACGAAAGACTCACGTTAAACCACAATTTAGCAATGGCAGAAAAAGTTTTAAACGAATTCAAAACACTATGCGATTACACTTCGAAAACAACAATCAACACACATTGCGATCAGTACTATCACCACCTACAAGAGGAAGAAGAAAAATTTAAAAGGACACATGAATATTTAACGGAAATGACCAGTACAAGAAAGAAAAGAGGGTTGTTAGGATCATTAATGACTTCAATATTCGGCGTAAATGATGAAGTTTACAGAAACTTAGGGTCACTACAAGAGAACCAACAAAAGCTTATAGACGCAGCAAACCATCAGACAAAATTCATGATTACTACAGTATCGACAGTGAACCAAACAGAAGAAAAAATTAAACGAAAATTAGACAGATTCCAAACAAAGCTTAATCAAGCTCTGAGTTATATTAATGACCATGATCGATGGTACAAATCATTTGACGGTAATCACCTACAAATTCAAGTTATGCAATCGTACCAATTGGCATACAACTATATTACAGAAATCAATGATTACTACTCAGGATTAATGGAAATATACATCATGAAAGCGACAGTATACAGTGTGCTTTCTCCAAAAAACATAGCAGATACTATTGCAAATGCAAACAGCAAGATACCGTCAAATCTTCATATCATGCAGACTCAGGTACTTGACACTAGATTAACGGAAAACGATACACATATTACAGTGCTATCGTACTTTCCGATTACAGAAAAAACGAAGTATACCTTTATGCACGTCATTCCCATACCAATGAAAAACCAGGATGGTTCATTCACAGGCATAGATATTTCACAGACATTTATAGCTATAGATTACAACAATGAGAAATACTTTGAATTAACTGACGACGAATACAACAAATGTTTACATAGACTCAACAACTTTATCTGCTTTCCTGCGGCCGTCAAAAACATGCAATTAAATAAAAATTGCATTGTTCGCATGATCATAAAAGATGACAACTCTACGTGCCCTACGAGAACCTACAACATCAAAAACAATATTATCTGGAAACAAGTTCAAATGAAAAACACTTGGATATACCTCACGAAGAAAACAGAGACAGTGTCCATTGTATGCGACGGAGAGAGAGAAGAAAGTTTCATCCATGACATTGGAGTATACAAATTTCAGAAAATTGTATTATTAAAACCACGGCCACTACATTAGTAGCTAAACGAGTACACACAGTCAATGTCTTAGCGTCCTATAGCAGACCCCTTCTATTTCATCTCGATAATAATTATTCTGTAATTAGATCACATACTGATATTTCAAAAGAACAAGTAGTTTTAGATAGTTCTAAAGATATATTTAAGCATGTAGTAGACGAAGAAATGAACGAACAAACAATCTTAGATAACACTATTTGGACCACTATCAATACACAAACTTATATTATTAGTTTTACAACTTTATTAGTAATTTTATGTATTTGTTTATTAATTTATTGTTTTGCTCCACAAATTGTGGCCAGAATACGTGCTATGGCGGCGTCAAGACGGACAACGGTAGCACCAGCCAGCAGTTCCCACGACGAACTACCTGCAGCGCCACCACGACCGCAGCAGCACACTTACGCGCGGCCGGCTCCTCGGGGGCAGCAGCCGACTCTCTACGAGATGAAGACCTTGAAGACCTACTCTTCTGAGACTCGCCAAAATGTTCACGCGAGGATGTGAACATGCCGACGCAGCAGGGCAGTGACCGCGATGAACCAGAATCAACCTCAATCGTAGTTATGTGTCGCAACAGTGTTGATCTACGCGGTTTCACACAAATGCATTCGTATAAGTAATACACCTATACATGTAAATATATTAATATAAATAGCATGTAAATCTTTAATAAATTCTCTTTCTACGCTTCGAGCAACGCTGTTTCATTCGACGAGACCATCGACTCCTCTCACTGTTACTGCGCCTATAAATAGTTACCGATAGCTCTGGCATCACTCAGCCTTTGTTATTGGTCGGTCCGTGAGGCTGCGGATCGGCAGTGAGAAAATCCCTTCCTATACACCTTTCATCCTTCCCACCGTCCGTCTGTTGCCTTAGGTCTCATGGTAACAGGCATCCCGCACTATATATATAAGTATATATTGTACCTATATGGTTAGGGCTAGGTTGTTAGGTGAAATAGGATTGTTGGTAGGTTGTTAGGTGCAAATAGGATTGTTGTTAGGTTGTTAGGTGCAAATAGGATTGTTGTTAGGTTGGTAGGTGCAGGTAAGATTGTTGATAGGCTACAGTCAACCCCCTTCACTGTACATTTAGATCCCTGAATGTACAACCATGCTTGCTCAGTGCGGATTGGCGATTACAAACTTATAATTAGAAATTACAAGCTCAGGTTTCCTCACGATGTTTTCCTTCACCGTTTGTCAGTGGTGTCTAGATAATCTCAGAAAGTACATATACTTAACTCGTAAAAAGTCACATTGGTACTTGCCGTTGGTAGGTTTCGAACCCGCACCCTCATGCATGAGAAGCGGGCGTCTTAAACCTCCGAGCCACCACGAGCTTTATAATATTAGTATAGATTATTAAATATTTTCAAAAACTGAAATATCTCCCCAGTATTGTTCGACACACCTGTTGGACTGGTGAAAGTTTATATGTAGGTATGTTTGTTATTCCTTCACGTGAAAAAGGTTGAAGGGATCGGGGTGAAATTTAAAACAGGAATAGACTACGGTCTAGGATACCACACAGGCAATTTTTTGTTACACAGGAATGCAGGCAAAGCTGCTGGCAGTAGCTAGTTACCTTATCCTTAATATGAACACTAATTATGTGATTGGCAAAATGCTTTTGTTGCTGATAGGAAATTGATTGGTTTTAAGTGTGGGAGAGCCATGCTTCGGCACGAATGGGCCTGCTCGACCGGAGTGATACCACGGCCTCACAGAAAACCGACGTGAAGCAACGCTTGCGTTGGGTTACGTCGTGTGAGTGAGGTTACCAGAGGCCCAATTACCTTCCCCTTCCCCAATTCTTGAATCCCCAACATTCCTCAAATTCCTAATCCCCAAAAGGCTGTTAACGCACTTGTAACGCTTCTGGTGTTCCAAGTGTCCATGGGCGACGCCGATTGCTTACCATCAGGTGATCAGTCTGCTCGTTTACCGGCTTATGCCATAAAAAATATAGGTACAATTGTGACCTCTCAACAAACATAGCAGTCAAATAACCTTTATACATATATAATAGTCATGTGATCAATTGAAATATTCATAATCATAGTGAACTATAGAAGATGTCAGATAACGTGAGTCATTCTAATACATATTTCAACTAATTTATTTTATACACAAAATCACGTGATAGTACGTAAACACAAAGAAATATCATCACCTAGGTATAAATAATAATAATACCTACCTATATAATTATTACGGAACTGAATTAATTCATATGAATTAAAATAAATCTAAAAATAAATACATATTATCATGTTTCCGATAAAACTAGGAAGTGTTAAGTGTTAAGTATTTTCTATATTTCATTGATATTCTATCGACGCAGTTATAAAATGTCATTTCTATATATTAATTTTTATTATTAACTTGATGGGTTCGTGGCAAGTGGCGTGGTGGATTAAAATAGTAATCAAATATAACATCACGCCTTTTATCCTTGACGGGGTAGGCAGATGTGGGCAATTAATGCCACTGTACAAATGTAACACCCACTTTTCACTGTTTATGTTATAAGTCCCATGTAATACCAGACTCCGTGGTACTACTGAGATATTTAGAAAAACTCAGTAATATTTAGTTATGTTAAGCGTGGTGATTGATGCACTAACCGTCTGCGTGTGAGAAGAGGCTTTGCTCAGCAGTGGGCACTTATAAGCTGTTGATGATGAAAGAATAATCCTCTCATACATACAAGATACGTGAGAAAAACAATATCTTTCCTGCAGTCAGGTAAAAAGTAAGCTACTCACATCGACTTTTCCTTGCTTGACCAGGTATTCAGGTGTCTCTGGCATGGCGAGGAAGATGAAGAAGATCACTGTGGGTACCAGCAGACCGAGCCACAGCATTGTGTTGACGCTCAGCACATCTGCTCCAATGTAGCTCATCAAGTAACCGATGTTTCTGGAAGGTTACAAATGGGTATTATAGGTGTTATTTTTAGGTATGTGTCCATACAAAAGCAATGTTCATAACGTCTCGACGTCTCGTCATTTGATCTAGGCCGGAGAGAACTGGACAGAGGAGCATATTTTACACCGTGGAGCTCTTAACGGGCTGCCGGAGCTCCGGCAAAATTGAAACAAAAAATGTTATGTCCTAGAACTTTAATTCTACGCGGACAAAGTTAAAAAACTAGTTTTAAATAACTAGATCTAGAAACTAAGGAAAAATGGGTGCAGTAGGTGATTTGAATAAGTAGGTAGATATATCTCAGCTTATCCATTTAAACAAAAAGGCATGATTATGTTTTCTACAATGTAGTGATAACTACACAATAATAATGATTAGGTATTCTCTAAGCGAAGCGGTCTCATCGTTACGTCATCAAATAATCTGGTCAAGTCTGTTCGTTGAACTGTTCGGTGTAAACAAAGTGATGCATTTGTTTGTTGCTTATTATGTTAAAAAGGAGAAATAATTCTTTATTAATGGTATAGAGGTCTTATTTCCAAGAACGAATAAAGACAAAATCTGCAGTTGTATATTTGTGTACCAGTTGTGTGGTAACGGCGGAACAGGCACATTGGGTAGAGACTGGGCAACATCGTTCTTTGATAAATATGTATCATCATCATCATCATGATTATATTACCACAAGACATCCACTGCTGAACATATACTTCCTTCAATGACATCCAGGTAAATGTGTACATCTTTTAACATTTTCAATTGAAGCCTGGCAAGCGTGAATATTATGGCAAACCTTTTCATGTATCCTTAGCTCTATTAGTCTAGCAGTGGACCGCCATGGGCATACCTACTTAGGGCTTAATAAGTCTTTTATACGTTTAAAATAATCGAAACGTCAAGGCGTCTCTCTTATTGGCCGGCCAATATGAACCCACCGATGATGGTCTAGAAAATATAGCATTTTGATAGACAAGTACCTAGTTGTTGACTTAATGATACTATGAATGGAGTATGGTTAGGCGAGAAGAAATGTAAGACTTTTACTGACTAAAATCACCCTGTTTCTACTCCTGCTCTTCTCTACTCTGAGCCGGATCCTGTTAGGCCTTCCGCGGCTCCGTATCGGTGTATGGTAAAGTAGAATAGTAGTTAATGCAGGCCTCAGAAATGCATAAAGTTTTAATAAACACATCTGTTATTCAAATCAGACTCCACAAACTGCAAAGTTTATGGTTTTTTCGGTATCACACACAAATACACACACACACACACTTCAAATTCTAGAATGGTGCTATTCTAGATGAAGATAACTTGTTGAGCAGGTTTACTGTTATATATGTAGGTGTACATAGTACGAATTATTTACTAGAATTTGCAGTAACAAACCAGATGCATACATAACGTCACTTCTTTTTTAATCCGTTGCAAACTGGTATGCAAAGGTGCACATACCTACTACAGGTGTACAATGTATCGCCCCACTTTTAACAAAGCGATCTAAATCTGACCGATATTATAAATGCAACAGGTTATAAGTTTGTGTGTGTGTATGTGTTGTTCCTCAATCACGACAAAATGGCTCAAGGGATCAGGATGAAATTCGGGAAATGGTTAGATTATGTACGGTCTATAATAAAATAACACATAGGGATTTTTTTATCCAACGGGAACGTGGGCAATGACGCGGGTAGAAACTAGTTACGTTATGTGCCTGATACAAAAGGTGGTGAGTTTATTGCCAAATACTGAATCCAGACTGTACAACCTCTCGATTAATGAGACCGAATTTCTAAATAATATAACAACAGACACCCTATAGAGTGATAGAAAGGCCTTGATTTATATATCCAACCAAATAAAATGTTACAAAATTTTTCGTTTTTCGTACTACATATGTCATGTAGTCTAAAAATTGCAAGTGTAGGAGAGCCATGCTTCGGCAAGAATGGGCCGGCTCGACCGGAGCGAAATCACGGCCTCTAAGAAAACCAACGTGAAACAACGCTTACGTTGTGTTTCGTCATGTGAGTGAGGTTACCGGAGGCCCAATTACCCCTCCTCTCTAGTCTCGTCAATCCCCGAATCCCCCACAATCCTCAAATTCCCAAAAAGCCGGTAACGCACTTGTAACGCCTCTAGTGTTTCAGGTGTCTATGGGCGGCGTTGATTGCTTTCCATCAGATGATCCGTCTGCTCTTTTACCGGCTTATCCCATAAAAAAAAACAATTGACCCTTCATTACAAGACTGGCGAAAAACGTGTAGCATTAACGTAATATTTGCACCTCTGCCTACCCCTTTATTCTTTAATAGGTATAACATTGTGTTATGTAAATTACGTACACAGTTGAAGGCTACACAGCTCATGGCTCAGGAAAATATGAGAACAAACGTAAGTACTGACTTTAATTAAATCATGTAATGAATTAATTTATAGATGATCAATGATTATTTAATTTTCCTACCATCGGAGTCTCGGTCCTTGGTTGTGATTACTTTGTTTATTATTATATTACTTATGTACCTAATATTATATTATAGAACCACTCTGGTGCAATTTGATAGAAAGATGAACAAATACACTTTCGGAAAGTTTACAAATTAGTAAAGAAGAAAGAAGGAAACCGACCGAAAGTAAGAAAGTGATTTTTGTTTCGGTTTTGTTGTCCGAAAGTTTTGATCGCGACTAGAGAAGAAAAAAATAATATAATATAAAAAGAACCTCAAGTAAATTCAAATAACCACAAAAAGAAGTTTACTTACCTATTCAAAATGAGAAGAGATCCCAAAGCCCCTCGTAGGTCAATATCGCTGATCTCCTTCAGATATATGGGGAGGACAATGTAGCAAGAGGAGCAAGGTATACCGGCGACTGCACGGGCCAAGATCAATGCCCACGGTTCCAGACTCAGCAGCTTGATCTGCCAGTAGATCTGTGGATTGGAGAAACGATATTAGAATTAAGAGTGGGTACAACATACATGTAAACAGAAAGATTTCAAAATCGTAGAAAAACGTATCTTAGAGCACCTTCAGCTAGGTACACTGACGATATTTGCGATGTAACATCTTAACATGTAGTAGTTGAATCCGAAGAGCTGAAGATGGAACTGAAGGCATCTGTATAAGTCTTGCAATAGACAGTAAGTGTCAATAATTTTAATGGTTGTTTATTCTTAAGTAATTGGATTACCCAATAAGTGTTGATACATTTAAAAATGTACAGGTAGAATGTGAATACCCTATTTAATGTAACAGGAATAAAATTACAATGTAATACTAATTAATTAGCAACACAGATAAAACAAAAGTAACGCTAGAACTACCTTAGAATATATTACTATAAGTCCTAGTTGGGTCTTTCTTCGTAGTTATAATCCAACTTATCATAGAAATGTAGGACATTTACTTGGTATAGCGTGCGTTAACTATAAGACAAAGTATAATTACATTTAAATAAACACAAAAGGCAATAAAACTTATACTGCAGAACTTATTAATAAAGATTTTGGTATTACTTAGATAAATATTTATATTTCAGTATAAACAATATGAAGGTGAAAAAGAATGACTGAATGAATTGCAACGTCCAACGAATGACAATTGGACTATCGAGGGAGGTTCAGAACTGTCAAAAATTTCATAATGAGTCGTTCGAGAAATATTAATATACACAAATTCAAATATGATATAAGTGAAAACAGCAGTCAAATAATAATCAATTTTCAGCAGATAATTAACATCTAGAAAAGACGAAACAATTACTATAATAGTAAATAACTGATCGCAATGATAAAAACCTACAAATAAAACACTTGGAATACAAAAAAGACAATCAAGCCAGAAGAAGAAGATATACAATACAATGTAACTAATTATAGGAAGGAAGGAAATGATAAAGTTCAATACACTTAAATTTTTTTAGCACCCAAGTTTCATGCTTCAATTAATTTCAATAGCATCACCCATTATTTGTTAACGAGAAGAATGAGATGTACAAAAAATGGTTCGGAATTTGTCTCGCAACGTTTTTTGGATTTGTTTAAGGCCTTTGATAGTGTTAATCAAGTAATTGTGTTGAATGTTTGTAAAAAAACATTTGTTTAGTATGAGGATTGAAATGTAGCTGCAGTGCTGTTCTGTAAAAGTAATTTGCAGCACAGATTTAGGCTTTTCTTTTTTAAGGGGGCTTTTGTCTGTATGAATACGTCAACCCCAGTGTACCTTATTACCTAATTTAATAGCATATAAGTATATAATACCCTATGTACATGAAAGAGAATCATTAATTAGGTCTAGATCGCAGACAGGTTATGTCACCCTCACCAGTTCATACAACCCCTTTACAATCTTTGTGTCTTGTGACTTATTTGTAATTAAATTGTAAGTAAGATGTTTTAGATTGAAATTTAAACTGGATAGAATTTCTGTATGATTTAGAATATGTATTACAAAATGGTGTAACCATCGAATCGTTTAACGAAAGTATAAGAGGCTGAGCATAGAAGTTAAAAATCGATGATTTAGTTTTTAGAAAGTTCTAGAATATTAATGGAAATGGATGTTCAATGCGAGAAAGTTTTTAATTATAAATAAGTGGGGTAATTTTAACATAGCTGATGCACTAATAGTATAGTTTATTGAGGAAAATGGCAATATTTCGTGATTCCAAAGTCCTAAACCACAATCAACTGGAAAAACCTGATATTGGCCATTTGCCCCAAAACTTTGTTCTTCTATTTTTGTGGGGATTTCAGACTTTTTTTCATATTTAGATATGAATTAGCATAAAATCTAAATACATAAAAACACAATTGTTATTTTCCGGACATATACAAAAGTTTACGTTTGTGTTCCTACTTTTATTATTATTTTTTTAATGGCATAAGCGGGTAAACGAGCAGACGGATCACCTGATGGTAAGCAATCGGCATCGCCCATGAACACCTGGAACACCAGAGGCGTTAAAAGTGCGTTGCCGGCCTTTTGGGGATTAGGAGTTTGAGGATCGTTGGGGATTCAGGGATTGGGGAGATTGGGGAAGGGGAGGCTAATTGGGCCTCCGGTAACCTTACTCACACGACGAAACATAACGCAAGCGTTGCTTCACGTCGGATTTCTGTGAGGCCGTGGTATCACTCCGGTCGAGCCGGCCCATTCGTGCCAAAGCATGGCTCTCCCACAGTTGAAACTTATGAGAAGCATTCTATTTTAATGGCGGATCCAGGTCAGACTTGAGGTAAGGAGGAGGCGGAGCGCGTGAGGGAACGAACCTCCTCACGACCCGGCCGTCGCGAGAGACACTCCGGGCGTCGGGGATCGCGAGACGATCTCCGGCCACCGTAAGCACGGGTCTGCGGACGGCGAGCATGGGTGACTCGCCGCCCGACCAGAACCAGGCCCGTGCGTACGGCGCGTCGCGTTCCGCGCGCGCCTCAAGGAGCCATCAGACCACCACAGATGGGGCCTAACAAGGCTGATGCCGATACGGAGCCGCGGAAGACTTAACGGGTTGCCGGGGCTCCGGTTCGAAGTGCAGGTGTAGGAACGGGGTGGTTTTTAGTCAGTAAGAGTCTGACACTCCCTCCCGCCTCACCCAGGCGGGAGAAGTCATTGGATGATTTTCCCCCCTCAAAAAAAAAAAAAAAGGTCAGACTTGAGGTCTCATCCTGGTTTATATCAACCACATGATCAACGAGGTATTCATTAAAAAAGTTTTGGGATTTCGTCACACCAAACAACGTGTGATATCATCAATCAAAAGAGTGTCATTTATTTGTTTACCACGTTACATTATTGAACATCTAGTTATCGTAATAAGGTGCTAAATAAATACAGATATGCCTTAATTTTGGGCATGAGCAGCATTAGCTGAAAGGTGCTAACTCTATCCTATTTTGGTTCACACAACAATCTGTGCTAATAATTTTGCAGTTCATTTTACATTTTTGATAAATAATGACGTCACTTTTGTGTTCTATGCAGGCATTTGCATGGGAGTTACAGAAAATTAAACTGAATCAAAAAGGTCTAAATAATTTAACACCCTATAGTTTTGTTTTTCATTTTTACTTCTTTCATTGTCATAAGTAGGTTAGTAGAGTTATTATAGTGTCAACGAACACAACAGTCTCTTTAGCTTTACTATTAGTAATTTTCTTTTCATCTTGCCCTCGTTATAAGTTACTTGAGGTTCGCAAATATGTCTATCTTTTCCCCTCTACCTATCAGACCTTACCACAAAGGTCTTTTTTCGTATTTTTTTCATTTAAATATACATGGCTGTGTTACTAGCTTCTACAGTACATACCAAAGTTCAAACCAAGTTCATATGAAATGAAGCTAATTTTAGAATTCCATGTTTGCTTCAACTGGTCCAATCAGCAGTTCACCTGCATTATCAGTTGGATTTGCATTCATTATTATTTTATCCTCACATAACTAGATACAGCTACAGCACGTACCTATGAATTTTATTTCAAATTGTGACCTCTGAGTTAATGGAAACGATGCTTTTCCCAGTGCAGATAGGCAATGCCCAATAAGTTCTAATTGTTATTTTTTTGTTCGTTAAACTGCCAAACACCAAGCGGTCACCGGTGACCGCAACCTATTGTTCTTTAATTGTGTCTATAAATACGGTGCTCGACGAGTTAATTGTTCTTTCTCTCGCATAGACAAATATATTTTATGTGCTGTCTCATTTATTGAGAAGTCTTAAGCGCAACTGCATATAAGTGAGTAATTCTACTTTAAATCGAAGAGTAGTTTAAACATCACTAAGTCTTTTAATTTCCATTTCAGTAACACCAAGACACGTCTTTGTCGAAAATTTTGCAATAAATTTTGCACTATAAAAATGAGGTTATAGTCACTTTAATTTTCAAAAATTATTTGTAATTAATGCTACGTTATTTCTCAAAGCGCCTTTAGGGACTATAATACAATAAACCTCATAACATTATTACATTATGTAAATAAATTGTTCTACAGTAAACAACTCCTTGACACCTAACCTTGTATAGAACTGATAGCAAGCAAAAAGGGTCTAATTTGGTGCCAATGCAATGTTATCGAATGATACCGGATTTCCTAAGTATACAGTTTACGTAGTAAATATTCTTTGTTTTTGTTTTTATAATATCTATCGTGAGACATACTAAATTATTTAAAAATCGCGGGCTACTCACGTGAATATCGTTCCGGTATTTTCATGGTTGTATCTACTGTAGATCCTGGCTTACAGGAGTTGCAGCGGCATCGTGAGATTGTGGCGGGCTTGTCCCAAAAAAAAAAATGATTTGTCCTAATTTCTACGTTTTGCAGGCGGCTATAGGTTGCAGTTTAAAAGAGTAAGGTTTAACAGAGAGCGCTACGCAGCCTGGTTTTAGTCAAATGTATAGCTGTAAGCCTTTATTAGGCCTATAGTTTACGTTGTGTCATTCGTCAAAAATGATAGGCGGACTTGACGTTGCCGCTTCGTGGAGAGTTTTCATTGTTTCTAAGCAAGATGTAAGCATTTGTGATTTGTAGGCCGTATATTGTTTGTAAAGGATTAAAGGATGCATGTAATGACGCACCATGGACATTTACTCTAGGGATTATTGCACACAGTTAAGGCGCGGAATGCGTCATCGTCATTGTCAAAATGTGTCGTAATAAAAGTAGGGGTTGTGTCAAATATGTTCTACATACTGACTTACCACACGGCGTACCACACGCCTTATAATGGTATTATGAAGTTCCTATATTATATTTTACATAAAATATTTATACTCATGTCGTCACCTCACCGAGACTTTGTCCGTCTCACGTAATTGATATTGTTATTATAATTAGTAGCACTAAAACAGGTCTTGCGATAATTACAGTACTATCAAATTAACTCATTTAAATAAAGGTAATGTGTGAGTTACAATTGTTTTCAACTAAAATTGCTTATTTTGTGGTATCATTAGACACTTTGAAATGTTCAATGTGAACATTTATTTATGCTTCAAATGGGAAGATGTAGAAATAGAAATTAACTCGTACACAATCACCTGATATAAATCCCTAAAATTTATTCATAGAAAAGTAGCCGCTGAACATCGGAAATAAGGTCTATAATGGAATTAGTGGACGGCAGTCATCGGTGACAGCTTTATGCACAATTTTCGCTACTTAGTTATTTATAAGACTCCTGTAATATCTATGGGGTGAGCCTATTGCCATACATTGGGCACAAAGTCTAAAATTAAAAAATCGACTAAGTTGTGAACCGTTACATAACACTTTATTGTTATTTTAGTACTAGATAGACTAAGGGTAACTGTCCACGCATGGATGCATGACGAATGCATGCATTAGTCAAATGACGCATCGTGGATAGGACTCATCGTAGGCCTATGCGGTAGTTGTTGCAACCTATGTAATGGAATTTAGTAATAAAGGTCACAGGGACCATTGGATGCAAGTCGAATTAAAGTTATTGGGAATATGAAGATCATCGTCATCATTAACAGCCTGTTCTCGTCTACTACTGGACATGGGCCTCTTCAATGGCACGCCACTGAACTCGAATTTCATGAAGATAAATAAGATTAATTACCTACTGAATATTTTCAAAAGATGGTCTGATTTTTTTTATGGCATTAGCCGGTAAACGAGCAGACGGATCACCTGATGGTAAGCAATCGGCGCGGCCCATGGACACCTGGAACACCAGAGGCGTTACAAGTGCGTCACCGGCTTTTTGGGGATTAGGAGTTTGAGGATCGTTGGGGATTCAGGGATTGGGGAAGTTGGGGAAGGGGAAAGTATGGGGAAGTTGGGCCTCCGGTAACCTCACTCACACGACGAAACACAACGCAAGCGTTGCTTCACGTCGGTTTTCTTTGAGGCCGTGGTATCACTCCGGTCGAGCCGGCCCATTCGTGCCGAAGCATGGCTCTCCCACACTTAAAACGTATTTAAAAAATAACATTAAATTCTAACAGAAAACCTAACTTTCTAAACCTTAAACTGTCAAACACCAAGCGGTCACCGGTGACCGCGACCTATTGTTCTTTAATTGTGTCTATAAAACAGGTACTCGACGAGTTAATCTTGCATCTAGAACGCTCTTCAGTTCCTAAATGCGCAGAAAATTTTGTTCTAGCATATTATAATTATTTTATTGTTGTATATTTTTCCTTCATAGTCTTTAATTACTGACAACTTGTGGATGTTAGTGGGAAAACCACAAAACTTTGTATAACTTGAATTTTGTTTCGCGAAATTACATTTTACACTACCTACGCTACCTACGTAAATAAGTGAAACGTCACACCTTTTTATTTACTAAGCCATTTTTATTAGAATATTATGCAACTCGTTATTAGGTTGTAAACAGATGTTCACTGTATATATGTAAAACTCACTTTTCATTAATTATAATATTAAAGAAGGGCCAAATTAAAAGTACCCTTAATCGATGAGCATGCATGAAAAGACTGATGACATTGTTTTGTTTTAAAAAAAAAACGTTGCCCCGCAATAGGACTTTCTCCTGTGTCGTGAATATGTTTACTAACATACAACAATCTGTGGAAAACACAAAAAGATTGTTACGTGCAGGAATTGAACCCGCGACACTTTGCACAGCAACCAATTGCCCGACCCCTGCGCCGACCGTGAAGTCTGTTGATAACTGTTGATGAAGCGAAAGAGGTATGTAATAATTGTAGCAATTGGCGTTCCATAGTCTCTGCCTACCCCCTATCTTCCCAATCTTAGAATCCCCAATAATCTTCAATTTCCTTAACCCATAAAGTCCGGACCGATTGCTTACCATCAGGATCACCTGATGGTGATCGGAGAGACGGATCTCTGTTGCTCGATTACCGGCTTGTCAATAAAAAAATGTCTAGATCCACTTTAGTTGTAGATATATATTTAATAGAACTAATTTCGAAAACCATCCCAGTCAACCAGTCTATAGATTTGGGATTGGGATTGTTATTTTATACTGCGATCGTTACTTTTTACTTCATTCCCGATTATTGACAAATAAAGCATTTCACACTAAGTTCACATATTATTTTTCAACTTCCCATAGAATGGGTGTTATTGGTGTTGGTGACGTCACAAATATTCACCTAATTGTCAAGTAATCACCATGAACAAATTAACGGGCTTGTAACGCAAATTCGACTTTTATCGGAAACCGTATAATTTTATTTCATTAACCGTATACCCTTATCAGTGCATACTGAATTAAATTGTGAGTATGCCTGATAAAGCAGGCAAGTTCATAATCTTGTAATTAGGAATTTGTCAAGGCGAGCCAGTAGCCCGTCATATGGTTGGCTTTTATGAATTACGAATTCGATTCGGTGGTGATTAGACTCGTATTTTATGCGATTTAAGGTTCATTTTTAAGTTATATCGTATGTTGTCTCTTTGAGAAGTCTTAGTTTGTGGTGTTTACAGTTTGTGATAATCTACTGCAGCCTACGTTAAGGCATTTACCGTATTGCATACACTTGGCAAACCGAGGAGCTTGCACATGCTTTTTACTAATAGACTAACAATACAATGAACACTTTCATTTATCAAAAACCAAAGTAAATAGAACTGAGATAAAGGGGTTAGACGAATAGACGACAGACCCGAACGTACGGCGCGTCGCGTTCCGCGCGCGCCTCAAAGAACCATCAGACCACCACGGATATAGACCATATAGAGCTGATGCCGATTTGGAGCCGCAGAGAACTTAACGGGTTACCGGGGCTCCGGCTCAAAGTGGAAGAAAAGGAACGAGGTGGTTGTTAGTCAGTAAGAGTCTGACACTCCCTCCCGCCTCTCACAAACGGGAGAAGTCATTCAATGATTCCCCCCCCCTTATAAAAATAAAGACGACACAAAACATAATAGAAAAGTTTCACTTACAATTAACGACAGAGTTGTCACTAGGGTCATCAGTTTTCTTCCAAATCTATCGGTTAGATACCCCATAGGAGCTCCAAAGATGATGGCTGTGATGTAAGTGACTGAGGCCATCCAGGAGATGTCAGAACTGGTGTACGGCTTCGGTGAGGGTCCATCATCAGACTGTAGCACTGATATCATAGGTGACAACCACCCTTGCACCATACCGAAGCTTAGCAGCGGAATTGTAACTAAGGGACAAGAAGAAAAATAATCTGTTAGACATATGGATTTGGATACTGATAAAAATTATTTGGCTGGATGCGAAGACGGTTGATGGAGGTATAATGTATTATCAAAATGAAGAGGAGCAAGGAATGATGAGGAAAGTCTAGATGGATATAGTAAAAGGTTCAGTTTTATCAGACTTAGCGAGCTCTGCCTAGTCTCTGTCCAATGTGTTGTGGGGTTGTTGAACTTGAGATACTCGTGTCAGGTAGGCGTGGTGACAAAAATACTATTCTGAAGTCACTATACGGCTGTCATTAATTATGTTTATGATTTTTTTTTGTTTGCATCTGCAATCTACAAAAAAAGGTAAGATTGCATAACATCAGGCCATTTATACCTGAAGGGGAAGGCAGATGTGCACATTACGGCAGTTAATGCGACTGTACAATGTAACACCCACTTTTTACTATTTATGTTATGAGTCACCATGTAATAGGGGGTGAGCCTATTGCCATATGTCGGGCACAATTCTAAAATCGGTGCTACTACTGAGATTTTTAAAGAACCCAGTAATATTTTGCCCGACCCGGGAATCGAACCTGAGGCCTCTTGCCTAGCAGTCGCACTTGCGACCATTCGACCAACGAGGCAGTTGCTTTGATGACTTTGGGTGTTTCTATGTAATTGCTTAAATTATCGATCCTTTCTTAGAATTACTACAGTGATTAGACTATACGATTAAGAATGGAAAAGACAATAAAATTTATTATTTTCAAAAGCTGCAAGAGCTGATAAATTGATTCTCGTCCGTGCATTAATTGAATTATGGTTTAATATAAAATGCACTATTATAACTGCGAGGGAAGTTAAGGGTGCCTAAACCACCACAGCACCAGGTTATTAGTCAATCGAAAAAGGTATTTACTAATGGAGATACGTAAAGTCGCGAAATGCTGCTCATGAATATGAGCCTCTAGCATGGCTTGAAACTAGTCGAGTTCCTCGTCAAATTATTACGTGAGCAAGCCGAAAACATAATAATTTATTGAGATACGTAAGGTTTAAAATTAAAAAGTTTAAAATAAAACAAAACACCAAAGACAACGAAATTACAGCTCGTATTGATATATATATAACCGATTTGATATCGGTTATCATTTTGTTTCGGCAAAAAAATGGCCGAAGATTGGCATATGGAATGTGTACCTACAAGTTTCTTTTACAGGTCTATGTTTATACATATTGATGTCTTATATACTACATCAATAAATAATTATTAGATAAATTTATGAATCGAAACTAAACTAGTCAACCAATTATTAAGTAGGAACATAGAAATAAACCTAAATTGCTTTTACAAAAAATACGGAAGATGAAGTTTATTTTACTATAGGAATCTTTTAATTATCTTAAAATAACATACATAACATCACCGAAGGGGTAGGCAGAGGTGCATCCATACAGTTAATGCGACTGTACAATGAAACACCCACTTTTCACTATTTATGTTATAAGTCCCATTTAATAGGGGTAAGCCTATTGCCACATACCGGGCACAATTCCAGACTCAGTGCTACTACTGAGATTTTTTTAAAACCCAGTAATATTATGCCCGACCCGCGAATCGAACCCGAGACACCTTACCGCCAGTCACACTAGAGACCACTCGGTCAACGAGGCAGTTAATATATTTCATTACTATATCTTAAAATATGACCTGTTAAGGTGTGAATCTAACATAATGGGGTTTAATTACTGAGTTAAAATGGCCGTCATTCTCATTTCTAACCGGCCGATCTAAAAGTCATTGTCTACGATCAAAAGTGGACATCTTGCAGTTAATATGACGACGATGATGAAAACTAATTCGGAAATATCCAAAAACAGCAATATCATAACTTTTATGTCTTTTAATAAAGTTGGTTAATGGGATCTAATGCGCTATTTTGAGGGCTTAAAGTAAAACCCAAAGAAAAATGAACAGTAAAAAAGCAACGAAAAATACTGCGGGGAATAATCAGTTATTCCCCGCAGTATTTTTCGTTGCTTTTTTACCTATGGTAATTAGAGTTCAAAATATGCATCTAATATGCGTCATCAATAATAGTATTGTTTAGTTTCTTTAAGTGTGGGAGAGCCATGCTTCAGTGCGAATGGGCTGGCTCGACCGGAGTGATACTACAGCCTCACAGAATACCGACGTGAAACAACACTTACGTTGTGTTTCGTCGTGTGAGTGAGGTTACCGGAGGCCCAATAACCCTCCCCTTCCCCAATCTCCCCAATTCCTGAATCCCCAACGATCCTCAAACTCCTATTCTCCAAAAGGCCGGTAACGCGCTTGTAACGCCTCTGGTGTTCCAGGTGTCCATGGGCGACGCCGATTGCTTACCATCAGGTGATCCGTCTGCTCGTTTACCGGCTTATATATATATAGTTTTGTCATGATTGTGTTTACAAATACATATGTGTTTACGTAAACAAAGGCAAAATGAATTTGTCACAGGTAAAATATATTTTTGTTGTTAAACAATAATTTGTTGTTCATTTTATTATGAATGGAATCAGAATTCAAATCAGTCTCAACGTAGAAGGTCATGCAAGGTTGCACACGGATATAGTAAACAAAATAGCAGAAGGTTCAAATTACGCAAAGTCAAAATCATTTATATCAATTTGACCAGTAAAGCACTTTTGAACGTCAAAACAAAATGTTTTTATAATAACTATCGTGAGACTTACTAAATTAACTAAAATCGCGGGTTACTCACGTGAAGATACTGAGAAAAGCTACAGACGGGTTCTCCTCGTGAGCAGCGTGCGCGGTCGCGGCGACGTCGCGCAGCTCACAGAACTCCTCTGTGGTTCGAAACTAGAAGTGCTTTTCTCAGTATATTCATGTGAGTAACCCGCGATGTTTAGTTAATTTCAAATGGTGAAATATTAAAAAAATGTCAGTATGTCAGTCAGTCCTTTAGTGAAGCTATTTGCTCGTTCCAAACTGTAGATACCTATAGAGAAGAACGGACAAGAAACTCTATAGGTTACTCTTTTTCAATCAGTCTCCATATAATATGAATAGGTTACGCTTTTATTAACTTTGAGTGAGTAATGTTGCGCAGTTTTTTTTTGTTTTGTTTTCGTTTCAAGTGTTATATTATATCTAAAAACTAGGTAATTAGTTTATCTAAACACATTATTTTGTTTGCTTTATTAATTTAACCGAAAACGCTGCAGTGTTTTGTACGAGTTCTGAGTGCCTAGCACGAATAACTATCGAATTCGTAACGTAATAGTATCGAGCGCGTTCGGCGCTCTGATTGGCCGGTTCAAGTGAACCAACCAATCAGAACGCTTAACTCGCTCGATACTGTTACGATACGAATGCGATAGTTATTCGTGCTTGGCCCTCAGTTCGAAATAAATAGTCTGGTAATATTTTTTCATACCAATTGCTTATTACGGTTTCACGATTCTTATTCAATCGACATGTCCTTTTGAGCTTTTGAGAATTTCCAACACTGTTATATAGGAGCCAGCGTACCTATCGTTTCGACCAGATTAAATTTTGAGATATTGTCAAGACTGAGACTTCTGCATTTTATTGCAGAGTCCCAATGTTATGATCAGTATCTGACTTTTGTTTATATATATAGAACCTTATAAATACATACATAAGTTACATAATCCTGTATTTATTTATACATACAGTAATAGGTTAATTGTTTTATTTCGAAACTGCAACTATTTAAATCAATCTTTAAACATGTTTGTTGTTTCGTAAATGAAAAAAATAGGACATAATATTAGTCGCAAAGTTTATATTAATTAATAAATCTATAATTTATAGATAAATAAAATAATCACCAATATGTTTATCTACTATATAAAAATAAGTCGGGTTTTCCTTCCTGACGCTATAACTCCAGAACGCACGAGCCGATTTCCACGGTTTTGCATTCGTTGGAAAGGTCTCGGACTCCGTGAGGTTTATAAAATATAAAAAAAATGTTTCTTCATCTTTAAATCACCAAACGAAATGTTATATAAAACGAAGCCATCTGGTGGCGAAACAGAGTTCACCGGGTATGTTAGTACGCGATAAAAGGCGTGCTGTTATGTTATGTTATGTCAAAATAAAACAATGTAACGAAAAAATGTATCTAAGATGTGACATCTATAGTACCTAGTAGATATTGATGAGATTATCAAAAAGATTTAAAAAATATCTCTAAATAATAAGTACACTCATCGTGTACATGCATATATTAAATACAGTACGCCGTTTCCTAGACATCACAGGAAATGTATGAACGTTGGTACATAGTCTATAAATATTATTATGTATATTATCCATCTCGGTATATGTATAGTTCTATGCAAGTCCAAGTTCAATGCTGATCCCTGTAATGATAACGAAGAATAATTTTATAGAGGTGAACAGTATTTATCAACTAGTGGTTTATTATAATTGGCATTTGTCTTTTGTTTAGAATGTATGAACCCTTTTTGATTTATTTATCGTAAAGTTAAAAAAAATGCCTCGTTGGCCGAGTGGTTGCAAGTGCGACTGCCAGGCAAGAGGTCTCGGGTTCGATTCCCGGGTCGGGCAAAGTATTACTGGGTTTTTAAAAAATTCTCAGTAGTAGCACGAAGTCTGGAATTGTTCCCGGTATATGGCAATAGGCTCACCCCCTATTACAGGGGACTCATAAACATAAATAGTGAAAAGTGGGTGTTTGTACAGTGGCATAATGTGCCTACCCCTTGATGAATTATGATGATGATTAAAAAAATGTTAGATATTTATCGTAAAGTTTAATAGAGACTAACGAACGATAAATTCAATTTCATTTGTATAGATTAACCGAAATTCTACTGTAGGTACACAAAGAATACAAAACTTTATGACTCAGAACTCCCTTATAATTTTTATTTCTTTATTTTTTTAAACGCATGGCTTTATATTATGGGTCTATAAAAATACATATCAGCAGCTGTAGCCAAACACCATTTAGCG